GGGGGGGGGGGGGGGGGGGGGGGGGGTTGTGTGTGATGACGATGTGGCGGTTGGTGCTTGTTGTCTTTGTTGTCTGTGTATGATGCGGGGCTGTGAAGTATGCTTCGGTGGGGCCGTGGAGTATATTCCCCGGCAGTACATGTACCCGTCTCGTGCTGACCATGGGACAAGGTCGGCTTTTCGTTGACTGCCACGTCCTCTTCTTCAGCTCTTTGTGAGCCGTCTCAGGCAAAGTAGGAAGAGACGATCGGTCATCCGTATTGGGAACCATTGACGAATCCGGCGTGCTCGGTCCCCTCGAGAGAACGCGTAGTCAATGGTCTTAACACCCTAAGGCATGCGAAACATGACGACCNCGGACCTGCGCGTGACTTTTGTCCATGATGAACATGATGGGGCCGGTGGGGGCTGCAACTACGGGACCAAATGACAACGATTGGCAGGGTGTTACACGAAAGGGTGACGAGGCTTGACCCGAACTACAAAGAGGTCACCAAGGGAGTCGGGGGACTGCCAGACGTTCACCAGGTGTGACAACGGGGGGCACCGCAGATTGCATAAGATGCCACACCCCCGTCCCTCGTACGAGGCTAATTTGTTGTTACATGTTGAGGTCGTGTTGAACGGAGAAATGTTACCACCCGGGGGTGTTATCTGGCGTGATACAGCATGGCATTACTTATCTCTGTGGCGAATATCCGGCCGCTCGTCCTTTGCTCTTGTACTGAATCAACTGAGTGCGTGTCTTGCCCTGAGCTGACCTGCTCTCACACCACACGTCGAAAAACACGCCACGGAAAAATGGACGAACGCAGCCGTCCATCAGCTGCACACCGTTGGAGCGCCGTGCAGACAAGCGTCTGGCGATGGTTCTGCGGGCGGTGCTGGTGATGCGCCCCCTGCTGAACCAGCAGCTGAGCATCGTCCTGCCGGCGCTGGTGAACTTGGTGAGAGGAGTGTTGTTGGTCGCGCATTCGTTGATGGTTCTGTTGTTGCTGCATATTTGGCTGTTGACATTGTTAATTTTGCTGGGGGGGTGGTGATGGTTGTGGTCACTGCTGTTAAGGCTGTAAACTACAAGTACTGTTGCTTACATACCGTATATGACACAAGATAACACACCCCCTTGACCGATTTCCGAAGCTCGATTTCTCAACTGCCGGAACAGTCACAACGCCGAAAACGGCGGCGTTGAAACCGTTTCGTCGAGAGCTTTTCGAAAATGTATCGTTTCGTTTTTGCATCCTCTTCGTCGTGGAGTAATCGAGCTTTGACAATCGGTCCAGGGGGTGTGTTATCTTGTGTCATACACGGGAGTTGTTGCCTGGGCTGGGCTTGGCTGTCGTGTGCTGGTGGTGTTGCTGGTGCTGCTGCAATGTGCTGCTGTATGATTGCTGTTCGTGTGTCTGGACCGGACCGACGATGAAGGGCTTTTACCGTTTTGTAGTTGTACGAAACGCAAAAACGAATGTAGCCTGGTTCGAGCGTAGTGGTCGTTGTTGCAACCCCGTGACACCGGCAACATCTAACTGTTGTCTTTGGTCCGGAGAGTAGATTAGCTAGCCAAACATTCCGATGACTTTCCCTCACTGGGCTTTTTTCAAGTAATGTTTTTTCCGTCTTGAGCCGCACTGTGACATCTCATTTGTCAGTCAGCCAGAGGGATTAGCGCGGTCGATGCTATTACAACACGAGACACACAAAAAAAAAACATGGGACGCAAATGCTGCAGGTGGGCGTGATGTCCGAGACCCACCCGGAGCGCGACGACCTGGAGTGGCACCTGGCCTGCCTGCGGACCATCAGAGGCCTTACCTCGGGCGGGGCGCTCTCCCACGTGCCCTCCCTGGCCGCGAACCTCGTCCACGCCTTCGTCAAGCTCCTCTCCGTCACCGGCGGCGGCGGGACCGACGCCCTCGCCGCAGACAGCGGTAGGCACCCCGCCGCCGCTGCTGGCAAGAAGATGGATTCCTCTTCTGGCGGGATAAGCCTCCCCCAGCACCTGTGGGGGTTCATCGGCGGGGCTAGCTTGGTCCCCCCGTGGGACTTGGGAGGGGGGGGCAGGAGCAACAGTATTAGGGAAGATGGGTCGCCCGCGAGGCGCGGAAGGAGGGGGGGCGTGCAGCGGAGGAGGGGGGAGTCGCTGGGCGCCATGGAGGACCACAATCGGTGAGCGTGTGCTGTCGACATATGGGGGTTGATGCTCGTTTTTTTCTTGCAGTTTTTGGTCTTCTTTTTCTTTTTATGTTTTTTTGTGTGTGCATGCTTTGTCGAATTATTTGTTGTTTTTTTCTGTTCATGTTTTCGTGTGTCTGTGTGTGTGTGTTTTTTTTTTGCTCCCATCATTGGACTCTGTCGTCTGCCCCTCTGGCCCCCTGTATCCTCCTCTTCTACCAGCTAGACGACCCAACCGGGGTCACATAGGAGGGATGGATTGGACCCCCTCCTGCGGTTTCTGCCTGAGATATTTTTATCGTGTGTGTGTGTGTGTGTTTTTTTTTTGCTCCCATCATTGGACTCTGTCGTCTGCCCCTCTGGCCCCCTGTATCCTCCTCTTCTACCAGCTAGACGACCCAACCGGGGTCACATAGGAGGGATGGATTGGACCCCCTCCTGCGGTTTCTGCCTGAGATATTTTTATCGTGTGTGTGTGTGTGTGTTTTTTTGCCATTGTGCGCATATCTGCATGTTTGTTTTTTCCCGAATGTTTTTCCTTCTTGATGATAACAGCACCACCACCAACCATAACAACGACAGCACCACCAACAGGAACACGTTCGCTACATCTATCTCACCCCGTTTCAAACAATGCCGCCTTGATAACATCCGCTCTCATCCAAAATCTGCCGCTGTTTCGTCGTCATCGTTGGTTTTGGAAGCAGGAATCGCAGGAACAGCACGGGCAGCAGACCTGGCATCGGGAGGGGGGTAGGCATGGAGAGTGATTTGGCCGCCAGGGAGGAGATGGCGCGACAGCAACGACGTCGGCTTGACTCTTTGCAGGACGCGGGGATGGAGGTGAAACGGGCACTCTCGTTTTTTGTCGATGGTGGTGGTGTTGGCGATATTTCTCGTTTGTTGTTGATAGTGGTATTAATAGTGGTATTAATGCTGTTGATAGTGGTATTAATATTAAAATAGTAATAGTGGTATCAATAGTGGTATTGATGCTGTTGATAGTGGTATTAATAGTGGTATTAAAAGTGGTATTAATGCTGTTGTTGATGTGGGCACCACATGTCAGTATAAAAGGCTTGTGGCACCTTATCTCGTGTCGGGCAAACACCCTTTATACAGTGGCGTCAGCGGCAGGATGTCATCCCTGCCCACAAGCCTTATATACTGACACGTGGTGCCCACATTGATAGTGGTATTAATAGTGGTATTAGTTCTGTTGTTTGGTGTTGTGTTGGTGGTGTTGATGGTGGCATGGTTGCAGCTGTTGCTGCTGCTGCTATTTTGTTGTTGCTGTTGTTCTCGGCGGGGAGTTGTCCTTGAGAAATACACCCCCTCGTGGTTTTTGGTGCTTGCCTAATAGTTGTACTTGGCACACACACCCTTTTTCCCTATTGTTTGTACCTTGAGAGACATTGCTACCGTATATGACACAAGATAACACACCCCCTGGACCGATTTTCAAAGCTCGATTNGAGCTTCGAAAATCGGTCAAGGGGGTGTGTTATCTCGTGTCATATACGGCGTGTCGTTGTCTGTTTGTGGTTTTACCTCGAGCTGTCGGCCTCCCTTCCGCCTCACGCACTGGAATGTTGTTTCTGGTCTGTCGCTCGTGCGCCCCTCACAGGTTCTCACCAGCGTAGCGACGCAGCTCGGTAACCGATTCTTCATGTTCGAGGGCATGGCCGACAACTTCCTTGACGGTGCCGGGGCCAGCGAGCAGGCGGCGAGGTATGCAACCCCCCCGCTCCATCCCAAACAGGATCCTAGCTGTATCACATGATCCTAGCTGTATCACATTTTTACATTTTTGCACTCTTTTTTTGTTTCGCCCCCCTCAGGACACAGGCTTCCCTCGTTGGGGGGAGGCCCAAGTCGCAGTAGTCTTTGCCCACTACAAAAGGCTAGCAGTTCTCTTCGTTGAGATGTAGAGAGGAGAGGGTCTCAGAAGAGAGAGACAAAAAGAGAGAGTGCCGCCGAAGGGGCGAGGGAGACCACGCCCGAGGGTGTCGGATTCCCAAGCTCCACAGGTGGCGCCAAGAGGGACGCATCCATAGTTGGGTCTCTTGCTGGTCAACCATCAGTAAGATCCTTCGTTCGGATCGTATCTTGGTCCTACTTTTGTATGTGCAACAATAATGGCTACAGCACTTCTACACCTGTCATCCACGCCCCCTGAGATTTTTAACGCGCTACACACTGCCAAACATACTTTATATAAAACCATGAACAACAGCGGCAGCAACCGCAGCGGCAACATCACCAACTAGGCAGCAGCATGCTTTGAATACCCTTTCAATAGCAGCAGCAGCAGAGGCAGGTACTACTGGTAAGTATCAACCAGGCAGCAGCATTTTTTGAACAACCATGAACGGCAGCCAAGTCACAACCAGGTAGCAGTATACTCTGAACAACAATAAACAGCAACAAATTCTTTTTTTTGTTGTTGCACAGGTACCGCCAGCTGGTGGAGCGCCTCAAGGCCGACGCCGCCGCCAGTACGGTGACCATGGCTCCCCCCTACGGCGCCAACCCCCCCACCTGGGGCTCCGCGAACCCCTCACCCAACCCCTCCCCCGGCCGCGGCAGTGATTACGGCACCAGGACCGCGTACATGCTGCCCCCCAACGGGGGCAAGAGTTGGATGTCGGGTATAACCCCCCCTGTCGCCACCGCGGGGCCCCCTCATCAGCAGTACCTGAGCAGGGGCGCTTCTGAGGGGGGGTATGGGGGGTCGTGGGGGGGCGGCGGCGGCGGCGGCGGCAGCAGCGGAGACGATAGGAGCGGGGGCGGCGGCGGTGGGAACGATGGGGACGTTGGCAGCGACGGCGGAGGGGAAGGGGCGGTGAGAGAGAGAGAGAGGGAGGGAGGCTCGAGGAGCCCGACTTGCCTTTTTTTTTGTTTTTCCTCCTACAAGATTCCTACAAGATTATGTACTTTGGAGTATATTTCTTCGAAGTATGAATTACCCGATATTTTTTTTCGTGGTGTTGTTGTGCTTCAAGAAAACATTAACTTGTATGGCGTGTGATCGACGTACTGCACATGAAGAGTCCAGGGACCCCATTGATAGCAATGAATTAAACATGCTGTTCTGATTTTGTGCGCGACACATATGTGTAGAAATTAGAATTCTCGAGTCGTATGTAGTCTAGGAACAATTTTCACGTGCCGCACATGCGTTCAACCGTTTTGGACACGCGCGGAAACAAGGAAAATCATGCCCGCTCTTGTCAACTTTCTCTTCGTCATGGGAAGGGTATAGGAACGAAAAAAAACAAGAAAAACGAAGCAGTTTCTTGGCCACGAACATCGACAGCTTTTCACCACCATGGGGTAATTGTAGAGATCGGAGTTTTTTTTTAGTTTTTTTTTACGTCACGACCTGTTGTAGCGATGCCGCTGACGTCCGCACCTCTTCGAAATCGCGGCCGCTTCTCTTGTCGTCGTCGCTTGTCCTCCCCTGCCGCTGCGATGTTGTTGCGCTCGCTCTCCTGTAGCAGCAGCGGCCGATGAACGAAGCAAGCCTGAAGCGTGCGTGGGACAGCAACCAGGTACGAAAGAAGCACCTTGTTTTCGTCGCTGGTGACGTCATCGCCCAAACCCTTACCCCTTCGTCTTTCTGTATGGGTGTGCATGTTATTTTCATGCACTCTGTTTGGAGGTGCAGGGGCCATTGGGATGCAGAACGGGCGCACACTCTATTGTTTGGCGAGGCGAGGGTTCTTAGTTTCTATTGTAGGGTCATCCTACGAATCGTCGCTATATAGGCTCGTAACCGAGCTCACAAATGATGCTCAAGTTCTTTAGATTTTGAGTTTATTTTTGGCAAATCAACAGGCGCCAACGTCGTACTTGTCCATCGCCTCCGTCCGTGTCCGTAATGAATGATTGCTGTACGAATGGAGGCCGGTGCGCCTACAAGGAAGGCTTCACATCATCAAGCACCCTCCACCTATAGAATGTACCATGATATGCATTCATACCTGTATTTGTACTCCAAGGAAGACTTGGAAGCATCAAGGACCACGCCCACTACAATTTTTTTTGTATTCCAAGACTTCGAAACAACAACAACAACAACGACAACAACCACCCCTAGTTTGTGTATGTGCATTTCTCATGTATAAACGGAGAGCAGTGCGCCGCTAAGGAACTTGGATCAACAAGCACCTCCCCCATGACATATTTTGTACCATTAATCGATATCAGTGCACCCACGAAGGGAGGCTTGATATCAACAAACAACCCCCACGCCCCCCCCGGTCCCCCCCCCCCCCCC